ATGAAGAGGAGCAGGGGAGGAGAGGAGATGAGGAGGAGCAGTAACACGGGTGACTTCCTGCAGCAGCCGAACGCTGCACAGCTGCTATTCTCAAATACACAAGCTCACAGACTCGGGGTCAAACGGCGTCACTGAAGCGGGGAAAACATGGAAGTTAAAAGGGAGTTCTTCCTTCCTACGGTCGCCAAAGTGCTTGCTCATACGGGGTCACATGATTGTATTATTGTAGAGTCAACCTTGCAATATGAAGCCTCGGGGCTGAAACCTTCAGGATGTCATCATTGATTAACGTGATCAGATATAATCTGGTGAACACAGTGAGACAGTTTCAAACTCGGACTCCGTGGGGTTTGTGAGGATCTCCGAGCTTCTGTGCTCCGAAACAGAAACACCAGGAGCGTTTCTGATGACCTGCGTGTCGGCGCTGGTCTCCGATACGAAACTCCACGTCAGCACAGCGATAAGCTGAAGAAGCAGTGATGACAGAACGGGATCATTTGACTTTAAACTGATTCTGGGACGTTAGGGGAGGAGGTGTGATGAAGTTGGAGGAGCGTCTCTTTGAGCACTCGTCCTGCCTGCAGTCTCACTTCAGGCTCAGCCAATCAGAGAACCCGCACACATGCAAAGGAGCCACTCAAAAGGCTCAATCTACCTCACATAGCAAAGCAGGATGTCCCCATGGACGCTCGGCTGACAGCATCTGCAGACCACCACCGGCGCCCCCACAGACCACCACCGGCGCCCCCACAGACCACCACCAAACCCCCCCTACAGACCACCACCAGCGCCCCCTACAGACCACCACCAGAACACCAGCCTCAGACGAGCGTCTGCCTTCTCCTGAGTCTGTAAGCATTTCTGTCCGTCTGTGCGACTGTTGGTCTGTAGTAACTGTGTGTGTCGTGCCCTCCTGGACTGAACTCCCTTTTCATCCACCTGTTTTCTCTTTCTAAACATTTCAGCCTCATGGGGGCGCTAATCACAGCCTGTCATTGCTTTTGTACTGACAGCAGTTTATTACTTTAAAGCGGGGCCTGTGTGTAGATAGAGTAGATGTAATGCTGCCCCATGTGTGCAGGTCTGAGTGTGTGCTGCCATCCTGACGTCTGATTCAGGGTCTTTCATATTTTGAGGAACAAACCTCAGACAGCTGCTAAACTGACCTCAGTGAAACATCTGGAGCTGCAGCTCAGATGAAACATGCTGAGGATGTTTTTTACAAAGCACCTCTGACGTCTTTGTTCTCGAGTAAAAACAGAGGCTCTGTCCTGAGGTCAGTGCTCAGTCCCTGCCCTCTGTGACAGTAACAGCTGGACTCAGACCAGTGTGACCTGTGGAGCACCAGCGGGCAGTTTACGCACAGCTTCTTGCTGCTCTGTGCAGTTGTCCTGCTGAGACAGTCTGACTGATATATTGTTTCAGGTCGGCTTTGAACCTGGTGACAGGGCTGGAACACACAGGCGGAACATTTTCTCCTCCCAGCCTCGATTTGGGGCTAAGTAACATTTTTTTCATGCTTCTGTCCAAAAACATGAAGCTAAACTTGAGGAAACGGGATCGACGCACTGAGCTGAAACACGTGCGAGGTCACTGACATTACACGACGTGAAGCAGCGTCAGTGCTCAGATATCAGTAGGGCTGCCACGATTAGTCGAATGTCAAAATCGTCGACGCTTCGTTTGAAGCTTTGTAAGATCCCAAAAGACGCAGGAATATGTAGTAGGATTTAAGAGTGTAATAACGGACTGAAACAGAAGATGGCAGCACTGCATGTACAAGGATGCCAGCTGCGATTAAATCCCAAAGAAGAAGAAACTGTCCCAGAATTCATAGCGCGGCCCAGCTCAGTTTCCAACAATGGCGGCAGCTGTTAGTTTTAATATTACTCTTATTAATCTTTCTGGGTCACAAAATAAA